AGGAACCTCTGCACACTTCAGAGGACTCTGGAGAATATGTTTAAGGGCTGGAGAGGGCAAATATTATGCTTGTAGGAGCTTCCTATTTTTCCCCTTTTTGCTAGAAATTCACCAACTGGACCCAGGTTCAAAAGACATACACTTAGAATGAAATTTTGAGCACAGGGATTTGTTTGGGACATCAGAACAAGATTGAGCTCACAGCCCTTCCACACAGAAATCCACTCCTGATTATATTTTATACATTTCAGCAGTATGATTTGGAGGGAGCGAGGAGTTGCTACGTTACTGCCATTAAACAACTGAGATCCGGAAATCCTTGTTGAACTGCTTGAAGTCATGATAACAAAATTGGGATCAAAAAATTGTTACACACTAACATAAATACAGATGGTATACAGGTATAATATTTTTGTGTGGAATTTAATAACAATTTGAAGCAAGCAACAAACACATTTTTATCTAAACCAAAATAATACAAACATAGTGTTTGCTGACCCAACAGCAGCAATCTGAGCAGATCTAACTCACAAAATATCACAAACCTGTTTTGACCTATATGTAGATACATACTTTCTTTGTTTTTTAAATTTTTGTTTTTTTTAATATACTGTATGCATTTATGTTAGTATGAAACAAATTTTTGATCTCGATTTCTTTTTCATCGTATCTTCAGTTTGTGGGGACTTGTTTCCTTTTTTGTACCTTGATCTGCTTCAAGTCACTCACAAATAAATACCTGCCTGGGAATCTACAGTGCATTTACATGGGAAGAGCCGTAGCTCAGAGATAAGAGCATCTGCCTTGCATGCAAAAGTCTCAAGTTCAACCCCCAGCATCTCCAGGTAGAGCTTGGAATGTTTCCAGCATGAAATTCTGGAGAGACATTGCCAGTCAGTGTGGACAGTACAGACCTGATGGACCAGTAATTATAAGGCAGCATCCCATGTACCTTCTATCTGCTCAGCTGTTTTAGGGCATACGCTCATCTGACCTGGGGTACCACTGATGCTGTTCTCCACATGAACTGGGAAGGCATTCCTTCACAGATGTGGTTTTGGAAGAGGGTTGGTTGTGGATTTGCAAATGTTGATTAGAAACTAAGACAGCTAGCTGTGAGCAAGCCATCTTCAGGGGTGCTATTTCACCACTACTAATCTTCAGATTGTGAAGAACCATCAGTTAGCTTCCAGTGTACCTCAAAATTTGCTGTTTGAAAACCACTGCCTTTAAGAAAATGTGTTTCAGGAGGGAATTACAGATGCTCTATAACACTACCGTTCCATTGTCTAAGTAGATGGATGATCAGGAAACAAGAGAAGACAGTTTAATTTTGTTCTCAATATGCCAGATATCGCATTATGTACCAACAATTTACAACTGATCCCACCTTGCTGGGAGCCCACCTATTCCCAATACTAGAGATGCAGAGACCAAGTAAATATACTTGGGGACCAAGTAAATATATTTATTCCTGCCTGCAAATCTTTCCAATGATGGTATTCTTTCATCCCTGAACCCAACAAATGTGTGCCAATGTCATCGTTACAACATCTGAAAATTTTCATGCCCAAAGGGTTTATATCTCAGTTCAGGGGTACTGCGTGCTGTGAACCAAATAACTTACGATCAAATGAAATGTTATCTTAGCTGCATATCTCTCTCTCTCTCTCTCTCTCTCTCTCTCTCTCTCTCTCTCTCTCTCTGTGTGTGTGTGTGTGTGTGTGTGTTTGCTGGCAAAAATGCCAGCAAAAAGATGGGTGATCCAGATCTGTGGAATTGTGGCTGTTTCACAATTTCCATTTGCTGGAAAAAAACACACCAGCGCTTAGCTCCTATCTGGGTGTATCTTTTCTTTGTTTACGGTGGCGAAATATCTTTGCAGTCTTCTTCAGCCACTGACTTTGTTTTTATCTCCCTGGCTTAGGGTGTTGTTTGGGTTGCAGCCTTAACTGATCATTTCACACCCATCAGCACCATTACGAGATTCCTTTAGCGTACACCCTGAGTACAGATGCACACTCACTTCTGCTCTCAAAGGTCAAGCTAAAAATTATTATTTGTTTAGAGTCTTTGCATCCCATTCCTCAGCCAAAAAGGCTCCCAGACTGGCTTACAGACAGTCAATTCAGACAAGACAGTCTGTGCTTGCAGGCTTACTACAGTCACACAAGGGAAAAGGACAGGGAGGGATGAGCAGGTGGGGAAATCAAACTCAACACTAATTCTTAAAACAGTCGTCCTTGTAATGACCAGCTGGCACACTTCAGGCATAGGAAGTGTCTGATGTGTGAATGTTACAGAAAAGCGTGCACATTTTTAAATAAATAAATAAAAGGCACCTCCAAGAGGCTGCTAGTTTGACTGGAGTGATAATGATGAAGAAGTATGGGGTCTTCCAAGAATTTTTCCAGGTAGTGGACTGAGTAAAACATTGAAGATAGGAAGCTGATTTATACTGAATCAGGCTATTGGTCCACCTAGTGTTGTCTTCCCTGACTGGCAGCATTTCTTCAGGGTTTCAGGCAGGGGGATCTCTCCCAGATTACTTGGAGGTGCCAAGGATTGAACCGGGGTATCAGCTGCCAGTCAGTGTAGACGATGCTGAGCTAGATGGAGCAATGATAGGTCCAATGAAGCAGCTTCTTATGTTCTTCTGGAATATCTAAGCTTGGTCCTATGGGAAATGTGACTTCTCCCTTCTTGCTTTTTAAGGTAGGTACTTGTGACCGGAATGGAAAGTAGGAACCTCACTATTTTCAACGAGTTCATCCTCGTCGGATTTCTGGGCCATCCCCAACTGGAGCTCTTCCTTTTTGTGCTTGTGTCCGTGATGTACACGGTGACCCTCTTTGGAAACATCTCCATATTGGCTCTGACTTGTTTGGATTCTCACCTCCACACTCCAATGTACTTCTTCCTCAGCAACCTGGCCTTCTTGAACATCTGCTACACATCTGCAGTGGTCCCCAAGATGCTGGCCAACTTCTTAGTGGCCAGGAAGACCATCTCGTACCAGCTGTGCGCTGCGCAAGTGTACATCACTCTCTTCTTGGGGCGGCTGAGTGCCTCCTCCTCCTGGTGATGGCATTTGACCGGTACGTTGCCATCTGCAACCCTCTGCATTACACGATGGCAATGAATAAGGGTGCCTGCCTCGCTCTGGCCATTGGGGCCTGGCTTGGCAGCTTCCTCATGTCCGTGGTCCCTTCCTTGACCATGAAGCAGTCTCTGTGCAATTCCGTCATTGACCACCTGTTCTGTGAAGTTCCTGTCCTCCTCCAGCTGGCTTGTCCCAGCGACGACACATCCCTCAATGAGACCATGATGGTGGCAGGGAGCACGTTCACCTTGCTCATGCCGTTTGTCTTAATCCTGCTGTCCTATGTCCGCATCATCTTCGCCATCCTCCAAATCTCCTCCACGGATGGGAAGCGGAAGGCCTTCTCCACATGCTCGGCTCACGTCACCGTGGTGACCATCTACTACGGGAGTGGGATGTTCATGTACATGAGGCCCAAGGCCAGCTACTCAGCTGAGAAGGACAAGCTGATCTCTCTCTTCTACTCGGTCATCAACCCCATGCTGAATCCCATCATCTACAGTCTGAGGAACAATGATGTCAAGGAGGCCCTCCTGAAACTGCTGAGGAGAACCAAAGCACCTTGAGCATGAAGACAGGGGTGGAGCATCTCAGAACCCAGGGGCCAAATGTGGCCCTCCAGCTCTATCTGGCCCTTCAGACTCTCCCCAAGCCATGCCCTCTCCCTGTCCCCAGATCATACCCCTACTTCACACCCTCCTTGAGTGTTTTAGCCTGGCTGGAACGCATCCTTGAATTTTGATGGTGCCTCTTGCATGCCTGGATGGAGGATAGAGAGAGAGGCATGTGTATAGAAACTAGCCTGCTCCAGAGGCTTGGATTCAAACCAATGGCTTCAAGTTACCAGAAAGGAGAATCCGACTAAACATCAGGAAGAACTTTCTGACAGTAAGAGCTGTTCAACAGTGGAGCGGACTCCCTCAAGAGGTGGTGGACTCTCCTTCCTTGGAGGTTTTTAAGCAGAGGTTGGATGGCCATCTGTCTAGGATGCTTTAGCTGAGATTCCTGCATTGCAGGGGGTTGGACTAGATGACCCTCAGGATCCCTTCCAATTCTATGATTCTATGATGCGGTGCAAAACAGCTTCCCATGTGCCTTTGGAAGATATGGAACTCTTGCGTGAAGCCTATTTTGTCATGCTGCTTTATTGTCTTAATTATTTTACTAATTAGCTAGCATCCCTGAAACATAACTTTAATAAGTAGCTACAGTAATTGGTAGCATGATTTTGGCCTTCCTTCCTTCCAGGCACTTTTACAACTTGGCTTTCTTTTCTCATTGAGGAAGAGTGGTGGTCAATGTGACAGGACACAAAGGCTGCAATAATATCAGACACTCAACTGCTGGGAGTAACTCCTCTGGGTGATCTGGATGCTGAGGGTAAGGTGGTAGCAACTGGGGAGAAGGCCTACATTAGGAGAAAGGAACCTTTCTTCAGGTGAGGGCCACATTGCCTTCTGGGCAACCTTCTGGGGGTGCACGGTGGTGGGCAGAGCAATAAATTTAACTTTGACGTTTGCACGAAAACAGTTGTTGGATTTTTTAAAAAATCATTTTTATTAATTTTCCAAATTATTACAAATCAAACCAAATTAATCTAATACAATTTCTCAAAATCAGGTTTCCCGCTCCTGTTTCAAACATATGATCATCATCATCATTTCCTTCCATTGCGGCATCATTTCTTATTTAGAGTCCAGTTGACATCCTTCACTTGCTGTTAAACAATTATTCCAGCAGGCTGCCTTTTTTCACCTTACAAACAGCACCTCCATTATGTACAGTCACAGTTGCTGGATTTTTCACTCTGTTGCAAAGCTTAGTAAACCACTTTGTGAGTTCAAAAGTGTTTGAGTTCTTCTCCTCTTTTTCATTTTTTATAAAATGCACCATATTCTTTTGACTCATATTCTGGTAGAATTTGCTTTTTCCTTCCCCAACAGATTTTATTAAAGTTTGAAAGAAAATACAAAAGTTAGTATGAGATATCAAACAGTTCTGGTAGAAACTGTATGCAGATATTTAACAGGTCCGTGATGGCATAATAAAATTTGATGGATTAGCGATAAAATGAGTGTTTTAGAGAAAACAGAAATTTAAACATGCAATCTTAGAATTGTTATATTAGCATGTTGGTCATAAGAGAAAAGATTCTTCTGAGGGCTGGGGACAACTTGCCATCTGATCCCAACTTTACCTGGAATGAGAGACAGGAAGAAAAGGGGTTACACTCAGCGAGGCTGCCAAAATGTTCCCCATCCCAATTTATCTGCAGAACATAGAGATTCAGATTACTTGGACCACATGCGCTCCATACATTTAAAGTACTACAATGCCAACTTAAACAATCACGGCTCCGCCCCCACCCAAAAATTATATTCTGGGAGCTACAGCTGGTTCAAGATTCTGAGAGTAAGGACACCTACCAAGCTCTGTTTGGAACCAGCCGTAAGTATCTGGGTTTCGAATAGTGCAGGCGATGTAGACTTCTGGGGCCTCTCCATCACCGTTGCAGCTGAAAAGCTTTTGCAGAATGCCAATAAGGGACTGTGTCAGCTCCGGATCATATACCACATCTGCTTGGAAAGGGTGCATTCAAAAAACAGACACACAAAGAAAATGAAGAAAGCAGGGGAAATCTGGGAGAAAGCTATTGGATAGAGTCTTTACTGGCTGGCAGGCTAAATCTTTATCTCCTCCACCCCTGGGCCCCCCAACTTTGAGAGGTGGGCAGGGTCATGCACCTGTAAGTCTCCTCGTGTCATAGTGACATCAGAGGATGCTGCTGTCTGAACCCCAAATGGTCAGACCCTGGAGTCCAGTTCTGGGCACCACCGTTTTTAAGAAATATATTGACAATGTGTGTGGAGGAGGGCAACTGAGATGATTTAAGTGTTTGGAAACTAAGCCCTATGAGGAACAGATGAGGTTGCTGAGTATGTTTAGCCGGGAGAAGAGAACACTGAGAAGGGATGCAATAGCCATCTTCAAATATCTAAAGGCCTGCTGCATGAATGATGGAGCAAGATTATTTTCTGTTGCTCCAGAGTGTAGGATCTGAACGTATATAAAGTAGAAGACAGGAGACCCAAAGTTGGAAAAGGCTGATCTGGAGTGGAATGCTGTTGATTATATAAAAAGTATGGAGATAAAAAAATGAACTGCCTGGTCTTGCTGGAGGCACCACACTGGGGCCACTCGTAAAAAAGCCCACCTCTGCTTTACCGCAAGGCGATAACCATTAAGCTGTGGCAAAAACAGCAGAGTTCCACATATAATCCCCTTAATGGATAGTGAATACAGTCTTTCAGGTAATATGCTCAGAGATCTTCAGGACTCTCAATATAAAAAACAGGATCCAGAGGTTAATGGGCAGCCAATGCAGATCCCTGAGGACTGGCAAGATTTGCACCCGATAAGGAGAACCAGTCACCACTGGGCAGTGGCATTTTGCACCAGCTACAGCCTCCAGACTAGTCATAAGGGAAGCCCCACCCACAGCAAATTACGGTAGTCTAAACCAGGCATAGGCAAACTCGGCCCTCCAGAAGTTTTGGGACTACAACTCCCATCATCCCTAGCTAACAGGACCAGTGGTCAGGGATGATGGAAGTTGTAGTCCCAAAACATCTGGAGGACCAAGTTTGCCTATGCCTGGTCTAAACATAACATTTGCATTCAGCGCACTGTACCTGCAGCAATGACGACGTCAGGGCTCTGAAGTTCTGCCAGCCGTTCTTTTGTAACTAGGTTCCAGTCAAGCTCTGCTACGGTTATTTCAGGGCCCTGGGATCCACGAAGCTCAGCCTCACAGATCTCTTGTTTTGCCACGCCATGACCGTGAGTTTCAGGTGGCAGAAACAGGCCGTTCAAGCGGATATTCTCCGACAGCTGTTGAAGAACACACTCGTGGTGATCGCTGAATGTGTATGTCCTGGGACGGCAAGCTTTGGAAATTGCAATGCCTGTCAGTCCGGTCCCACTTCCTAGTTCCAAAACACTCCTAAGAAAAGAGAACAGCAGCAAATCATGTTAAAGAAGACGAGGATATGAGCAAAAAATGTAGGAAGCTAAAGGTTTCAGGGAGGTAGCTAAGCTGAAAGCAGGTTTTCCATATATTCAGATCCCACATTTTCAAATCATTTTTGGGTTTCAAGCATCTTTGGATCAAAATATACAACATACACACATATACAATTTTCTTATACAGTGGTACCTCAGGTTAAGTACTTAATTCGTTCCGGAGGTCCGTACTTAACCTGAAACTGTTCTTAACCTGAAGCACCACTTTAGCTAATGGGGCCTCCTGCTGCTGCTGCGCTGCCGGAGCACGATTTCTGTTCTCATCCTGAAGCGAAGTTCTTAACCTGAAGCACTATTTCTGGGTTAGCAGAGTCTGTAACCTGAAGCGTATGTAACCTGAAGCGTATGTAACCTGAGGTACCACTGTATATATAAACCTTGGGACGTATCCAATGCACTTATGCAAGGACTTTTGTGTGCACAACAGAACTCCACTCTTTTTCACTCCCTGTTTTCCTCTTCACCCTCCCCGAATTTGCTTTGAGGGGTTAGGGGACTTGGGAAGCAGGTGACGAGGGAGGGAGAGGAAGCCCTGTTGCACAGCTGAAAGTCCTTGCACTGAAAGAACAAATGCATTGAATATTACACCTTTTTGGGTTGACCACGCCTATCCAGACATGTACATTTTTACGTGTATTTAAAATGTAATTTTATCTAATAACATACATTTTTTAAAATGCCTTGATTTTGAAAAAAAGAAGAAGTTAGGCTAGTTTGTTTTTAAAGACCAATTTCATCAGCCATTTTAATGGATATTTTATATTTTAGGTATTTATTACATTTATATCCCACCTTTCCTCTAAGAAGCTCAAGGTGGTTCTCTTTCTCCCGATTTTATCCTCACAGCGACCCTGTGAGGTAGGTTAGGCTGAGAAAATGGCTGGCCTAAGAAAATTCCTTAAAGGCTTTGACATTTTAATTGGCATATAAATCCTGTTAAATAAAAATAAATAAATATACCGCCCAATACTATTTATTTAAGTCTAATCATAAATCTATTGATTTATCAATCTATCTAGACATGCACACACCACCTTTCCTTATCAGTTCCGAGGTGGTTGACAAGATATAGTAAAACAGCATTAGAAACCACAATGACTCAGAATGTCAATGCCACCATGGAAAAAAATACGCAAAACTAAACTGCTGTCTGGTTTGCCTTCCAATAAAAAGGTAAAGGTACCCCTGCCCGTACGGGCCAGTCTTGACAGACTCTAGGGTTGTGCGCCCATCTCACTCAAGAAGCCAGGGGCCAGCGCTGTCCGGAGACACTTCCGGGTCACGTGGCCAGCGTGACATCGCTGCATCTGGCGAGCCAGAGCCACACACGGAAACGCCGTTTACCTTCCCGCTAGAAAGCGGTCCCTATTTATCTACTTGCACCCGGAGGTGCTTTCGAACTGCTAGGTTGGCAGGTGCTGGGACCGAGCAACGGGAGCGCACCCCGCCGCGGGGATTCGAACCGCCGACCTTTCGATCGGCAAGCCCTAGGTGCTGAGGCTTTTACCCACAGCGCCACCCGCGTCCCTATATTGCCTTCCAATAGCTCCTCACAAACCTCTGCAGGGATCCCAAGGCTAAGCCCTGACCAGCACTGGGGTCTACCTATGACTGAGCACAACAACAAGAAATAGCTACCTGTTGCAAAAAACTGCAGAATTCTCCAGCGCCCATTCAGCCAGGTAAAGTCCAGCATCCCACGTGACAAGGCCTGTGGTTCCCCGTGAAATAATTGCGACGCTCTCACAAAGTGTAATGGCATCTCCAGAGGGCTACCAAAAAAGAAAAGAGAGCAATATACCATAATATTTTAAGAAAACACTTAAATACCGGAGCATTCCAAATCATTTCCCCATGTATAATGCATAGAAAACAGTAGATCTAGCAGAAAGGTAACACATATAGAGTTCTGCCCTGATGGTTGCGATTCATCCCCAATTATTCTTATCGTATAATTATGCAACAGTCTTATAAGGTTGCATAATCTTAGAAGGGGGGGGGGGTTGACTGTTACTATCATGAAGGAACCCTGCACCTCTGACTTTGCCACTACTCCAGTCCTGCTTTCAAATGCCCACTTAGTCATGCAGCTCACTGGTTGATCTTGGGCCAATTGCTGTCTCTCACCCTAACCAACCTTGCAGGGTTGTTGTGAGGACCAAAAGGGGGAGGAACCACATATTTCACCCAGAGCACTTTGGAGGAAAAGAGGGATATCAATGCAAATCAATAAAGAAAGGTCACCCACTGTACACACAGAATAAAGACGTTCTTACTTACCAATAAATAGCTTTTATAACACTGTGTGGTTTCTTCAGTGTTTAAGACGTCCCCAATTGCTTCGTATAGCTGTTCCAGAGGTTCGGCACCCATGGACTCATGCTGCATGAAAAAAAGAAAGAACCAAAAGTCCAATGATCTTTGAATATCTTACAGGCAGCAAACACAGTGGTGGGTTCATGTTGCAATTGCAGAGTGCAGCCATTCTGGTTTCCAGCTGTTCTGTTCCATCCTCCCTCCCACATCTGGGCACCAGCATTCCATGCATACTGAGCATGCTCAGTCCTCGTTGAGCTGTTTTGGGGAGGTTCCAAGCCTCCCACCCCCAGAGTGAGGGCTCTTTCCTACAAGTCACATAACCCATCTAGTCCAGCATCTTGCCATCACACCGGCCAACCAGGTGCCTATGGGAAACTGACAGGCAGAAAGCATTTTGGGCTGAAGAGTGGGTACAAAATTCTGCAAACAAAATTAAAAATATAGGATCAACTAGTTCCAATCAGTAGTCCGGCAGCTGCATTTAAAACCAGCTGAAGTTTCTGTACTGTCTTCCATATGTCGGACAATGTGAGGAACATTATAGACATTTTGGAATTACTGGAAGTGAACATTAATAGAAAGGCAGTTTTGATTTTTGTGGATGCGGAGAAAGCCTTTGATAATATTTGTTGGACCTTTATGAAAAAGAATCTCCAAGGGATGGGGGTAGGCCAAGGGTTTGAAAACGGTATAGGTGCTATATATTCTAAGCAAAAAGCAAAGTTGATTGTGAACAATGTGGTTACGGAAGAAATATCTATAGAAAAGGGCACACGACAGGGGTGCCCAATATCCCCCTTACTTTTTATAACAGTTCTGGAGGTTTTGCTAAACATGATTAGAGGGGACCAATTGGTTAAAGGAGTTCAGGTCGGAGCGAGGAACTACAAACTAAGGGCATTTGCAGATGATCTTGTATTGACTTTGCAACAGCCAGATACTAGTACTAAAAGAGTACTAGAACTAATTGAGATATTTGGTCAAGTAGCAGGATTTAAATTGAACAAGCAGAAAACTAAAGTGTTGGAGAAAAATTTAACAATGGCAGAAAAAGAGAAATTTCAGAGGGAAACAGGTTTAGAAATAACAAAAAAAGTGAAGTACCTGGGTGTGAACTTGACTTCTAAAAATGTGAATTTATTTAAAGACAATTATGACAAATGCTGGATAGAGGTGAAGAAAGATCTAGAAATATGGTCACGGTTGAGACTTTCCTTGTTAGGCCGAATTGCTGTCATCAAGATGAATGTATTGCCTAGAATGTTGTTTTTGTTTCAGACACTTCAGATCTTAGATAAAATGGACTGTTTCAAGAAGTGGCAAAAAGACATATCAAAATTTGTCTGGCAGGGCAAAAAGCCCAGAATAAACTTTAAGATCTTAACTGATGCAAAAGAAAGAGGGGGGTTTGCCCTGCCGGACCTGAGACTCTACTATGAATCGGCAGCGTTTTGCTGGCTGAAACAATGGCTGCTTCTTGAGAACACAGACATTTTGGATCTGGAAGGTTATGACAATAGATTCGGTTGGCATGCTTATATATGGTATGACAAGGTAAAAATACATAAAGGTTTTAAAAACCATATTGTTAGGAAAGCACTATATAATGTTTGGATAAGATATAAAGATCTACTGGAAAGTAAAACTCCCAGGTGGCTATCACCAATGGAAGCTAAAGAGACGAAAAAACTTAATATGGAGTCCAAATGGCCAAAATACGGTGAAATCTTAGAGCAAGATGGTGAAAGGGTCAAATTACAGAGTTATGATAAATTAAAGTCTAAAGTACGAGATTGGTTGCATTACCTTCAGATAAACGAGGTATTCAAACAGGACAGGAAAATAGGTTTTCAGATGGAGAGGTCGAAATTAGAAACAGAATTGTTAGAACCCAATACTAAGAACTTGTCAAGAATGTATAATTTGCTGCTGAAATGGAACACACAAGATGAAACAGTAAAATCAGCTATGATTAAATGGGCACAAGACATAGGTCATAACATTATGTTTGAAGACTGGGAAAGGCTGTGGAATACTGGTGTTAGATTTACGGCCTGTAATGTTTTGAGAGAAAATATAATGAAAATGATTTATAGATGGTATATGACCCCAGTCAAACTTGCAAAAATTTACCACTTGCCCAATAATAAATGTTGGAAATGTAATGAAACTGAAGGTACTTTCTATCACCTTTGGTGGACCTGCCCGAGGATTAAGGCCTACTGGGAAATGATCTACAATGAAATCAAAAAGGTCCTTAAATGGACATTTTCTAAAAAACCAGAGGCTTTTCTCCTGGGCATGGTGGGCCAATTGGTGCCAAGGAAGGACAGAACTTTTTTTATGTATGCTACCACAGCAGCAAGGATTCTTCTGGCGAAGTATTGGAAGACGCAGCAGCTACCCACTCTGGAAGAATGGCAAGCGAAGGTGATTGACTACATGGGAATGGCTGAGATGACCGGCAGAATCCGTGACCAGGGGAAAGAGACAGTGGAAGAAGATTGGAAGAAATTTAAAGTATACCTTAAAAATTGTTGTAAAATTGAAGAGTGCTGAGATGTTATGGTGTTAAGAAATAGAGAATTGCAGCTGTATATCATAAATTTAAGGGAGCTATAATGAAGATGAATTAATAATGAAATGAAGGGTTGCTGTTAAAAGGGAAAAATAAGGATGCAGAAAAAGGGAGGTATGGGGAAGTCCGGGAAACAAGGTGAAGGAGAATGAGTCTATGAAATTGTACATGTTTATTTGTGTGTATGTTTTGTTTTGTTTTGTTGTTTGTTTTTACTACATGTCTGGAAAACCAATAAAAATTTTATTAAAAAAAAAAAAAGAAGTTTCTGTACTGTCTTCAAGCGGCAGTCCCATGAAGAGTGCCTTAGAGTGGTCTAATCTCCAGGTGATGACACCATGAAGGACTGAACTATCACAACTTCAGTGGTATAAGCCATATTACTATCATCTTTTTACCTTCTTAATAAGCTCTGATAAGAAGCATCTTCTATACTTCACTGAGAGAGGGTACTTCAAGCACAGCGGGTGAAAAACAGTCTGAAACAAATAAACGCAACAGCCGATAAATGCAACACACTGAAATAACTGTGTGCGTCAGCTAGAAAACTCCCAGGCCAAAGTAGGAGTAGCCAACCCGCTGCCTCTCCTGATGTTGTTGGCTCCAACTCCTATCAGCCGCAGATAGCTAATGGTCAGGGGTGATGGGAGTTGTAGTCGTAGAGGAGTTGGCTACCCTCGGGCCAAAGTAACACGTACAACTATATGTTACAAAACATGTTGGAAAAGTGATGATGTAATCATTGTGATTTAAAGCAACAGGGAAACCTCTTTGGACATATAATTGGCAGGATTTAGCTGGCCAGCTAACGCTATTATATTATCCAACCAGTTCAGCTTCCTCTTCTATTAGAGTCTAAACCTCATAGATGCAGGATAACAGGCCCGGAACAGACCCATGGATATAATCCGGGCAGCCCCCCTCCCCCACCAACCTACACTATTATAATAGGTGGGAGTTTGTGTGGCTGACTTCTGCCTCACAATATGGATTCACTGCTCACTGAAAGCAAGCGTTTCAGAAAAATGATAACTTGGGACCCCTTTTCCACCCAACATGCTTATTTCCCATGTTGTTTTACAGAGAAAAACCTCAAACATTAAATTCCCCACCTGTTTTCTGGTGGCCCAGTCTTTGAAAGGCTCTGCCGCATGCTTTTTTCTGAAGATGTAGATCAGTGGGAAGATGCACTGTTGCTTGCAGTATGAAACTGGTCACCCCTCCTCCCAAAGCCCCCGAAACAAAACCCAAAGAGAAAAACTCACCACTAGAAAAAGCGGTAGAGTGTCTGGGAGGGGCCAGATTCACCCGCAGCTGCCCCCCCACCTCAGTTTCTTCACAGTATCTAATTGCATATGGAGCATGAAGTATATGCAGTTATCCACAGATGTTTACCTTCTGTAAAACAGTCAGCAGTGGTGAGGAGTCTTCTGAATTCTTTAGTATCTGTTCAAGATCCTAGATCACAAGAAACATAAATGATCAGGTAAGGTGTGTGTGTGGGGGGGAGCAGCAAAAAAGTATTGTGGCACCCCAACCATGAATTTAATTATGGCATAAGCTTTTGCAGACTAGAAAGTGGGTTAAGACTTTGTATAAGTTATGGACACAGTTGGACAACTTTTGAGAACTGTCCCTCTGCAAATGTGTGTGTGTGTGTGTGAGAGAGAGAGAGAGAGAGAGAGAGAGAGAGACCCCTCAAAAACACCTCTGGGCTAATACTGCCTTTTGCATACGGTGAATCTAGCCACTAGAATCTGCTCCACTTCCATCTGCAAAGCCCCAACCTTTCATTTGCACAGCTCTGGCTTAGATACCACTTCTTGGTCACACTGCTTGGAATGTTTGGAAGTTGCTTCATGGAACATAGGACGTTGCCTTATAATGAGTCAGATCATTGGTCCATCTTACACTGACTGGCAACGGCCTTCTAGGGTTTCAGGCAGGGAATCGTTCTCAGCCCTACCTGGGATTGAACCTGGGACCTTCCGCATGCAAAGCAGAGGCTCTGCCACCGAGCTATGACCTCTTGGTACCCAAAGCAGCTAGGAAATAATGGAACGCAACAGAAAAGGCAAATGTAGCAATTAGCAGAGTGATATTTAATTCTATTTATTGTGTGCATTTGTAACAGCAGTTGCTGCAATGCTGCTTTTCTGATCTACGCTGGAAATATTCTCTGGTGGTTTCAGTTGCTGAAATTAAACTCCTTTGTTGTTGCTGCTGCTTTAAATTACCAAATGCTGTTAACAGATGAATGAAAGCACCAGGCAAAGAACTTTCTGGGAAAGAACAAATCGCCCCTATTTAATTTTACTTTGAGGGGAGAAACAACTTTATTAAAAAACTAAATTAAAGCAACACTCTCTGCTACTAGCATACTGCACAAGAAATCCAGAGCTCCGTGCAGGCATAAGGGGCTAGTGGGATTTCTCAGCCGATGCAACACTGCATTTTGTTGGTTAAGGTGTTTTTTTTTTTTTTAAAGAGTGAGATTGCAGGTTCAATCTGCAGCATCTCCAGGTTTGGCTGGTAGAGACTCCTTGCCTGAACTCCTGGAGAGCCTCTGCCAGTCAGTACAGACAATATTGAGCTAGATGGACCAATGGAAACTACCTCAGTTCCTAGGATGCAAATCTGTGTCACGGGCCTGTGACTCAAGTCTTTTTAAGTACCAAGTAATAGACCCAAAAGGGACACAGGTGGCGCTGTGGGTTAAACCACAGAGCCTAGGACTTGCTAATCAGAAAGTAGGCAGTTCAAATCCCTGCAACGGGGTGAGCTCCCGTTGCTCAGTCCCTGCTCCTGCCCACCTAGCAGTTTGAAAGCACGTCAAAGTGCAAGTAGATAAATAGTAGATTACAGCGGGAAGGTAAATGGCATTTCTGTGCGCTGCTCTGGTTCACCAGAAGCGGCTTAGTCATGCTGGCCACATGACCTGGAAGCTGTACGCCGGCTCCCTGGGTCAATAAAGTGAGATGAGCGCCGCAACCCCAGAGTCGGCCACGACTGGACCTAATGGTCAGGGGTCCCTTTACCTTTTAATGGCCCCAAACAACACAATCTCATGCATTTTTACTTAGAAGGAAGGCCCACTGTGTTCAATGGGTCTTATTCTTAGGGGTTGTAGGTCAATCTGCTAACTACTGGGGGATGTGCTAGCTGTACAGTTTCAGCATGGAGCAAATGGGTGGATTGCATCCAATATCCCCTCCAACACCAGGCTTCTCAGTGCAGGGACCCCTGGAGTGTTCTAAAGAAGTAGCGGTTGTGTTCAAGGTGGTCAGGAGGTACTTTTGGCAGCTATTTTCATATCCGCTTATTTAGTGATAAAATAATACACTAGTAAGCTGTCACATTCAATATTGCTGAGATGAGCTTATTGCAAAGCATATGAACGCTTGAACGAAGAAAGAATTTTTAGACCCGGTCATTGATCAAAAGCGACAAGGATGCTTACAGAACATTCATCAGCCTTAAATACGAGTCTTTTTTGTTTGTTGCCTGGTTATCCCAAAGGGGTGGGAGAAACCAGCAGTCCTCCCCCACACTGGTCAAACGCAGCTCTAGCACCCTCTGCCTCCCACTTCTGAGATTCTTATGTTTAGGATTCCAGCCTAAAGGAAGGCCTGAGAGTATCACGTACTGCTTCACAGAGAATGAGCTGAGCAAGCCATAAGTGGCTGAACACCTGCTTTTCATGCAGAAGATCCCAGGTCCAAGCTACAGCATCTCTAGTTAGGGCTGGGAAAGGTTCCTGGTCTGAAGAATCATAGAATTGTAAAGTTGGAAGGGACCATGAGGGTCATCTAGCCCAACTCCCTGCAATGCAAGAATCTTTTGCCCAACATGGAGCTCAAACCCATGACCCCGAGTTTAAGAGTCTCGTGAGCTACTCTTACCCCAGAGTCCCCAGAGAGCCACTGACACACAGGGTAGGCAAATATTGAGCTTGATGGACTAATGGTCTTAACAGCCTTATACATTAGTCCATCAAACTCAGTGCTGTCTACCCTGACTGGCAGCAGCTCTCCAGGAACTTTTCAGATCAGGAATCTTTCACACCACTAACTGGAGATGCTGGAGGTTGACCTGAGATTTTTCTAGCTCTTCCCTTGGAAGTTCAAAAGTTTTTGCATTGGATTTGGCTGCAACTCAACCACCGTTGAGTTCATGTCCAGGTTAATTAAACCCCTGGGTAGACGGTCCAATTATGGATTAAGACTAGCTTTTCCATTTTAAGCCTTTCTTCCAGGAGCAGATTAGGTAGTGTATCTCACAAAACGGGAGAGACGCCAAGGCAGGTCACGCTCAAGTTAACCTAGGATCGAACGGGCACATTATCTATTTGTCAAAAAAATTCCTGCTTGACCTTCAACTAAAGTTCCGGGTGGAGAATTTATAACAAAGTGCAAAATTAAACGATCTGCAAAGGAGGTGTAAAGCTACAGCTGTGCAAAGGTCACCACCACCAGTAGCCACATAGCAGTACAGTGGTACCTTGGGTTACAGACATTTCAGGTTACAGACGCTTCAGGTTAAAGACTCCACTAACCCAGAAATAGTACCTCGGGTTAGGAACTTTGCTTCAGGATGAGAACAGAAAGTGCGCAGTGGTGGCAGGAGGCCCCATTAGCTAAAGTGGTATATCAGGTTAAGAACAGTTTCAGGTTAAGAACGGATCTCCGGAAAGAATTAAGTTCTTGACCCGAGGTACTACTGTACAGAGAGTCTTGTTGACAACTGCAGGCGGGGAGAGATTTGCTTGCAGTCAGCCCAACCAGGGGATCTGTTCCGCCACTGTGAGAATAGAATGCTGGACCAGGCACGCCACAGAAGTATCTACTCTCTGATGCATTTAAATTCGGTGGCTACTAGCCATGGTGGTTGCAACTTCCAATACGTATCAGGGACAGTATGTAACTGAATAGCAGTTGCTGGAGAGTGTGCTCTTGTATACAGGGATTCTGGGATTCTGGTTGGCCACTGTGAGAATAGGATGCTGGACTAAAGAGGCGTTTGGCTTGATTCAGCAGTCAGGCTCTTAGCAGCAGATGCTGGCTGGGATTAAAATGTGGCCGGGGAAAACTACTCTGTGCATGCTCTCCGCCGTTGTCCTTTTTCTTTTTTAAAAACCACTTCTGCCCACGCGGCCGAATTCTTATTTCAGCCGGTAGCAGACCAAAGGCTCCGTCTAAGGCTTTTCTCCTAATGCAAAGGACTGCTCCTCTGTCCCCAAACAAAGCCCCTCTAGCGCCCCCTGAACAGAACCAGACTCCCCCGGTCCCATCCTTAGCCGATGGGGCTAGCTCGCCCAGTCCCCTGCTTCCGCGCAAGGCACGCCCAGGCCAGCCCCCGGCAGCGCGTCCTTCGCTCCGCCTCCTCACCTCCCAGGGCAAATCGCGCAGCCGCTTCCCGGCGAGGAAGCCGCGCTGGAAGCGGAGCGCCACGCTCTCTTCGGGGGCTTCTCTCGGCTCGCACGCGGCGCGTTCCTGCCGGGGCTCTTGCTCCTCCATCGGCGGCAGCCGCTCCTCCTCCCGCTCCTCCTCCGTGCGCGCCGGCGGGCGGGCTTCGTAGCCGCGCCTCCTGGGCTCCGGAGCCCGGCCTTCCGGAACAGGGGGAGGATCGCCGGGCAACCCCGGTTGTGGGCTGGCTGGGTGTCCAAAGCGGCGTGTAAAACTCCCCAGGTTTTTGTTTTAGTTCCAGGTTTTTTTCCCCTTTTGCGAGCGGCTAGTAAATAGGGAAGAGAGTGCTTTGGGGCATGCGCAGAGTGGTATTTCGTGAATAATAATAATAGTTATACTTGGGCGGTGCAGACTACCCATCTCCAAATTGCCAAATGTTTATGCGTGTCAGGGTGTCAGACCTCTACTCCAAAAGGTGTGCCCCAGCCCTTCTATTGGGTAACCCTGGGGGAGGGAGACACGGACCCTCTGTACATTATTTTGACAGGTATATGCATTTTATGCACACCCACCCACCCACCCAGTATGTGCATAGGGTTCGTTGGACAACTGCATTGCAAAAATCAAAGAAGTGTGAGTTTCATAGGCTTGCCATGTTTTGGTTCGCTTATTGCATTGGGTAGTGCAGATTAGGCAGGTTTGATGTGAAATGTGAACTAATGAGAATTTCTCTCCCATTGCTGGCTTGATGCAAATATTTGCTTTCACCGCTGCTGTCAAAGGGAGCAACCAGTTGATAGCGCTCAATTGGTGTGTTGAAACAACAGATGGTTTATGAGTTTGCTTTCTTCTTCTTCACTTCCTGTCCCGTTTCCCCTTGTGTGTTGTGTGTTTTAGATTGTAAGCCTGCAGGCAGGGACTACCTTGTTTTAATGGGTTGTATGTAAGCCACTCTGGGGGCATTTTTGGCTGAAGAGCAGGGTGCAAATGCACTAAATGCAATACATACATACATACATATATACATACTGACTGCTTGTTTTCTGGGAGGATGCAGGGGTGCGCATACCCCTAAACATTTTGTGAATCTAAGTTTGGCCTCATTGAGGGGCAGTATTTCAATAGGAGTAGGAAAATGAGAGTGCCTCTAAACTTTTTTTTTTAAAGAAAAAAAGCACTGAAGACTGATTTGCTATCTGTTTTATTCCAAGAGGCAGCAAGACATCCCTTATTGTGGGGTGCACTTAAATGTTAATAGAACAATGTGGGTGCAAATGACACCTCCCTGTGTTCCCTTGTTAAATCAGCCCTTTATATAGAAACACAAATTTTGGTCTTGGATTGAACATGGGGCCTTCTGCAGGCAAAGCAGGTGCTCTCCCACTGAGCCAAAGTGGCTGAGATCTCACTCCACCCAGCTGCTCAGTAAGCAAAAAATGTATGGCTACCGAAAAGGGGGGGGGGAGGCAAGAGGTTCTGGGGGCCAGTGCCAAAGATTTCTGGACCAGCCCCTAACGACACCCCTGGAACTTTGGGGGTGTTTGTAAGTGCACCCCTACTTTTTCAGCAGCAAAATGTTGGTGGGTATAAGGTCAAGTCCATAGCAAAAGAATATCACTTTGGAGCATTGAGTCACTAAGATGGTGGTTCTGCTGCTCCTGTTTTTGGTCAAGCATGTGGAACCAGGCTGCTTCTCTGGGAGAATTGATATTGCAATTCCCCCCAAAAGGCAAATGGGTGTTTCCTGCCACCCTGTCCACCTTGCCAGATCACCTGGTGCCAAAGCCAATGATAGGCAGAGTCAACTAATGCTTGTTTTGTGCCCATCCTCCCCACCCCCCAACTAAGTCTACAAGGGCACCACTGAGGCTAAGGACGATGGATATGACAGCCAGGGCCACCAGCCCCCCTGAACTGGCTGTAAGTAAGAAGGCAGGGCGGGTGGGGGCTGATGGAAAGGGAGGGTGGGGCAGTGCCCCATTCTCCCCAATGGACTAGCCTCTGTTGCCCTACTGTGGTTTGACATGGTACAGTCCATTTAACCTCTCAGAGGACTCCTTTAACACCTCATGGAGCATCTCATTCTGCAGGGTGTGCAACCTAAGCCTTGGACAACGTCATTCCAAGAGTGCCTTCTTTGAACATGAAAGTGAGTCATCATAAGCCAGTTGACGGCGGCGCTGTCTTTTTCATTTCTTCAGGATGCTCATCTTTCTTCCTGTAATGGATGGGAGCATTTGGAGAGAGAGAGAGAGAGAGAGAAAATCAGATATGATTTGGAGAGGGTTTTTGGTATTCAAATAGAATTTAAAATTAACTTGCCTTTGGAGGGGAGTGTTTCATTGCACACAGCAGGGTTTCTAAATTTGAGAACTGTCATTTTAAGGTGACGCAGAACCTCTTAACAGCTCAGAGCAGGTACGATTCCTCTAGGGGCACAGCAAAGACAGAACTGCGAGTGGACCTGAAACTTTTACTGCTTGCTGTAAGTTGGCATCCAGACACCTCTTTTTATTGTGCATTCATGATTATTTGTGCTCATGGTATCGGGGTAGTTATATGCACCCTTCTTTTAATACTATTTGCACCTGCAAAAGTTTTGGGGCAGACATACTGCTTGGTTTCCAATCAATGCCCCTTACCTTCCTGCTGAAATCCCACAGCCTTTTAGACATCAAATGTTCTGGTTGTTGTTTTTTTGTCCAGCCTTTGTCGGACAATGATGATAATGAGGTGACATTGGGGAAGCAGCACAGAGCAACTAATAAAGCAGAATGAAGTATGGATGGCGTTGTATCAATTCATGTGCTATTATGGCATCAGTGGCATGCTGCAGAGCACAATTTCTCTGGAAACCTCATGGGGAAGCAAGATGTTGCAGTGTTAATGCTGTGAAGCCTCTCCATCCTATGTTCAGGTTGTTTATAGGTGTACATAAAGGCATATATCCCAAAGACATTGCAGTCTCTATTGACCGTCATCCTAAGGAAATCAAACCCTGGGTATGTGCTGGGACCCCCAGAATCTCTCGCTGCTTGGATATTGGGGTAATGAGCAACAGTACTAGGTAATAGATTTTTATACCTGAGCTAGAAGCATAACAATTGACAAAATTGGTTTTTTGTTTTTTTAAAAAAGAGACTTTATATTCCTCTGCTCTGGCAAAGCTGTTCACAAAAAGCTGATTGCTTTCCCATTTCACAGCCCACAAAACCAGCAAAAAAACATATGTGCAATCTTTGAAAATGCGTTTTGAATGGACGCGTTTTGCCGCTGTTTACGTAGAGCGTTCTGGCTTCTAACAGATTGCCGGAGTCGTTTCTAGATGCTTTTTATCCAGAGATAGATGATATGCTTAATAAAACATCTGCTATGCTATTGTTAATTAGGGATTGGAAATGGTGTCTATGCAAAGGGAGAGAAAGAAAAAGAAAAGAACCCACAACTGGAGATATATTTCAAGTTAGGGAGTAGTGGAATATCATTATTTAATGAGATGGCAACTAGCTGTAGTCTTGGTCGGATCCTGGCACACTCAGGAAGGCAGGAAGTATTCCAGCTAAAAGCACATGCCTATTAATGTGGACTTGTTCAGGGCTGACCACAAGCGTTTCTTTCTCAAGATCCAAAGGCTGTTCCTATGTTTCTTGTTGAACCATGACCTGGGAGACTTGGGTTCAAATCCCTACTCAGCTATGAAGCTTACTGGGTGACCTCGGGCCAGTCACTGTGTCTCTGCCTGGCTTACCTCACAGGGTTGTTGTGAGGATAAAAGGAGGAGGGCAGAACCATGTACACCACCTTGAACTCCTTGCCACTGGGGAGGGGAAGGTGGTGTATAATTAATAATAAATTCCTGGGCGGCAAAGAGGCAGGGGTGCCAACTTGAATAAAAAATTAGGGATGCCCAGGTAAGCCCTGCCCCCCATAATCGATCACATGACATGGTGCACGCATACCATTTGAATGGCAATGGCCATCAACTTTTCGGGGCCCCAGTCCCCCTCATATATTTTATTGAGGGGCCCCAAAACCCCTTAAGGGACACAGGTGGTGTTGTGGGTTAAATCACTGAGCTTGCCGATCAGAAGGTCGGCGGTTCGAATCCCTGTGATGGGGTGAGCTCCCGTTGCTCGGTCCCTGCTCCTGCCAACCTAGCAGTTCGAAAGCACGTCCAAGTGCAAGTAGATAAATAGGTACTGCTCCGACGGGAAGGTAAACGGTGTTTCTGTGCGCTGCTCTGGTTCACCAGAAGCGGCTTAGTCATGCTGGCCACATGACCCGGAAGCTGTACGCCGGATCCCTCGGCTAATAAAGCAAGATGAGCGTTGCAACCCCAGAGTCGTCTGCGACTGGACCTAATGGTCAGGGGTCCCTTTACCTTTACTAAAGACCTTTTGGCCCCTAGGAGTTGGCTCCTATGCAAGGAGGTATGGGCTGCATGGAGGCCCTAAGGGTGCCAATCTGATGGTGCATCCATAGAATCCTGACCCTGCTGCCACCTTATTGCATCCAAATAAGGTCCGGTGATGCCAGAGCTGGCAGGGTGGCTCTGTTGTGCCACACTGGCTCCCACTCATCTGCACATCTCAAGACGAATGTATGGACTGGGACGTAGCTATCCGGCAGGCAAAGCTCTCAGTATGGTCTGAAGGCACACAAGGCTACCCCCTTGCTAAAGCCCAGTGGGTCCTGGTTTGATTGGTGCCTGGAACAGGGAGCTGCCTTACTCTGAATCAGACCACTGGTCTATCAATGTTTGTCTGGATGGATGTGTGTAGAAAATAGCCTAGAAACATAAGAAGAGCCTTTGGATCAGACCAGTAGCCCATCTAGTCCAGCATCCTGTTCTTACAATGGCCAGGCAGATACTGGTGGGAAATCTTGAAGCAGGATCAAATCACAAGAGCCGGTTTTCAGCAAGTGGTACTTAGACGTGTTGGCCCTGATCATGGAGGCAGAGTATAGCCATCCTTGCTAGTAGCCATGAATAGTCTTATCCTCTAAGAACCTTATCCTTGGCACTACTTCTGCACAAAGGCAAAATTAGCCTTCGTCGTTCCACTCCCTTTTGCCCCTGGCCCTTCCCATCACTGGTGTCTGGCCCCCAGAAGGTTGCCTAAAAGGTAATGTGGCCCCCCTCAGCCTGAAGAAGGATCCCTACCCCTGCAGTTAGGCCCCTCTGTTCTTTTGTATTGTGTTTCTGTGCTGCATCTGTGCAAGCGGGGGGGTGGGGGGGTAGGGTAACGAAGCAGGCAAATTGCTGTATTTTCTACTGCATTCTCTATGAATGCGGGTTGCATTTTGCGATGTGACAATCGAGGACCCGAATTTTGCTGAGCCGTAGTTTGCAGTGCAGATGTCTCTTTACGGGCCCAGCAATTTAGAAGGCGAAATGGAACATTGCATGAGAGATGTTTTATAGTGTCGCAAACAAAAATAAATGAAATAAATGGCCCTCATAATTGCCGGCTGATTGAATCCACGTGAAAGTTTTATACAGATACATGTTGTTTACTAGGATGTTTTCATAGGGTGTAATAAGGCTTGCATTGATATTTCATTGCAGAATAATCAATGTGTGAGTGAAACATGACAAAATTATGACCTGGGAAAGAGCATGCTGGTGTTTTATTGTGGTTTCAAAGTGCGGATGTGATTTGTGAAGATGCAGATTTTATATATTTATTTCTTACAGGAGTGAATAAAACAGGATTTGCAGTGAACGGCTTGCTAGCTGGCATTTGCTGATCTGCCTCTCAGGAATAAGAACACTCCTGTCCTTTGCCTTATGTAGTACATTATGAGTGGAAAGACCCCTTTTCGGCCTGAGGGACACATTGCCTCAGTGGTGGGTGGGGCCAGAGCCAAAAGTGGGCAGGGCAATTTATGCGATTCTTGCCTTTGCACCTTTGACTGACAGAGGTTCTCCTGGATTTCAAGTAGGGGAATCTTTGTCACCCCAACTGGGAGATGCTGGGGACTTTCTTCATTTAAAGCACTGCTATACCACTGAACTACGTCCCTTCCCCAAAGGGCGGATGGCCATAGCTCAGTGGTAGATTGTCTGTTTTGTCTGCGGAAGGTCCTAGGTTCAATCCCTGGCATCTCCAGACAGAGCTGAGAATGTCCCTTGCCTGAACTCCCAAAGAGTTGCTGTCAGTCATTGTGGACAATAGTGGACCCCATGGTCTGACTCCAAATAATTTATTTCCCTGTGTTCCTATGTAGCAATGGATCCTGTCAACTGCCTGAGGGTGCCGGGTGCCAACACTGGCCTTCTTTACCCCTGCTTCCTCCTTCCACAACATGCCATTCCAGAACTAGAGAACAAAGAAGGAAACACGGCTTACCCCTTCTGACGTTGACTAGCCCTGTAGGACACTATGGAGATGGGTATCAGAAGAAGCAGGACTCCCAGGAAGCCTCCTACAAGGATGGGAATAAGGATGTTCCTGGATGGTGCTGAATGGAGCATGTTGCGAGTGAATGCCAAAGAGCCATTGTTGGGTTCGGGATGGACTCCCAGGAGCTCACACATCAACGGGTAAATGTGGATGGTGTCAAAGGGTTCTGCCAAATAGCCCTTCTTGAAATCTGGACCAAAAGCTCTGAAGATGGTCTTCATATCCATGTCTTCGTTGTCAAATCCATGGTCGCCTTTGTTGACGTAGAGGATGAACCTCTGAAAAGAGAATGTAAGCACATTTCCAATGGTTTGTGCACTTATATTTATTGCGTGCCTGAAGTGCTCTTAGGTTTCTGGAGGAAAGTGCTTCCTTAACGATTCCATCTGGGTGCATAGCTAAGCAACACAGAATTAAATTATGGAATTTGTAACCGCAAGCTGTAGCGATGGGTAGCAGCATAGATGTGGGGTTTTTTTTTTGGGGGGGGTCATAAAGTGAGTGTGGGAAGTGGAGGGAGAAATGAAGGTGGACAATCCTGCTGTGTTTGCGCAGAAGGTATTGGTGGTGGAGGAGACATTTTTCTTTCAGTTCTCCCAGACCCTTTCTCCAATTTTGTTGGGGGGGGGGAGACTTTTTTCTTCCCATTGATTTCAAAGGGAGAGAAATAAACTAGATCAGCTCCAGGACTAGTATAATCCCCCCCCCCCTGTTCTCATTAACAGAACCAAAGAATCATAGAGTTGGAAGGGATCATGAGGATCAATCTAGCCCAACCCCGTGCAGTGCAGGAATCTTATGCCCAATGTGGGGCTTGAACCCACAACCCTAGGATTAAGAGCCTCATGCTCTGCTGACTAGATGAACAGTTTGTGGGGGATTACACAGGGTTGTTTTGTTTTTTAAGCACAGCACTATCCAAGGTAGCTGCCAAAAGGAAGGTTACCCTTTGGATGGATTCTTTGGGGATCTGCAAAACTGCCCCAGAAACTGTACAATAGCAATAGCAGTAGCAGCAGCAGCAGCAGCAGCAGCAGCAGCAGCAGCCTATGATTGTAATACAGTATTGAAAATATGCACTTTGAGTGTTTTATACTGTATTTTTATTGGTTTTCATTGTAAGCCCTTTGAATATTTTAACAGGAAAAATGTATTATTAAATCTAGATCTAAAAATGTGCCATGAGCATGCCATGTGTAACCCTCTGCAAACATGTCACTCAAGAGGAAATGTTTTGTGCAAGGAATAGATAGATAGATAGATGATAGATAGATAGATAGATAGATAGATAGATAGACAGACAGACAGAAGATAGAGAGACAGAAAGACAGACAGACAGGTAAATAGCTGTGCAATGTCAAAATGATTCATACAAAGCATGACCTCTCATAACCTCTCAGTTCTCATCACTGCCTGCCAAATGTTGGAAGCCTTAGGACTTGGTGCATCAGCCACTATATGTCACTATTGCTCCACTGGAAACTGGGCACCAAGATCACTTCCATAGTTTACAGTTCTAGCCTTATGCTTTGAAAACTTCAGACGTACACCTAAAGAAAAAAGTATGATGTGTGAAGAGGTCTTTCATGCTTCAGGATGCATGAAATGTGTTAACTTGGTCTGAAGATCAGTCTACATGTTTAGAAATAACTTGTGGAACTGCAGATTGCACTGCTTGAGAACGCAGGCGGGCAACTGTATGACCAAAAACGAGCTTGTTTAGGGAAATGGCTCTTTATCTTTATTGATACTATTTTCACCGTGCTCTTCAGCTGAAAAAAAAAAAGGCCTGCAGAGCACAATTACAGCTTGTTGGATCAGGCCAATGATCCGTCTAGCCCAGAATCTTGTTCTGGCAGTGACCACCCAGATGCGCCATTGAGGGCAAGCAGGACCAGAGCTCAAGAGCAGCCTCTCCTCTTATGGATTCCAGCAACTGGAATTCAGAAGCATTTCTGCCTCCAAGCAGCTTACAAATATAAATAATGACTTGCACTCTGAAAGGTACAACATAAATGGCAAAGGGATGGGGAGAGAGGAGGAAAAAAGCAATCTCAGGCACTAATTCTTAGTTACAGAGTTCTTCTAAGGACTAACCAGAATGCGGGTGGATTGGGGCATGCAAGGAGAGGAGAAAGCAAACATTGATGAGCTCTCTGCTGAGTGGGGAAGGGACCTGCTTCCCTTCCCTTCCTCAGTCTGCTGCAGGCTCATGCGGGATCTCCTGCCAGGTGACAGCTGAGGGAGGAGAGACCCTGGAGTCCCATCAAGTTGACCACAAACTTGACATGAGCCAACAGTGTGATGCAGCAGCTAAAAAAGCCAATGCAATTCTGGGCTGCATCAATAGGAGTATAACATCTAGATCAAGGGAAGTAATAGTGCCACTGTATTCTGCTCTGGTCAGACCTCACCTGGAGTACTGTGTCCAGTTCTGGGCACCAAAGTTCAAGAAGGACACTGACAAACTGGAACGTGTCCAGAGGAGGGCAACCAAAATGGGCAAAGGTCTGGAAACGATGCCTTATGAGGAACGGCTAAGGGAGCTGGGCATGTTTAGCCTGGAGAAGAGGAGGTTAAGGGGTGATATGATAGCCATGTTCAAATATATAAAAGGATGTCATATAGAGGAGGGAGAAAGGTTGTTTTCTGCTGCTCCAGAGAAGCGGACACGGAGCAATGGATCCAAACTACAAGAAAGAAGATTCCACCTAAACATTAGGAAGAACTTCCTGACAGTAAGAGCTGTTCAACAGTGGAATTTGCTGCCAAGGAGTGTGGTGGAGTCTCCTTCTTTGGAGGTCTTTAAGCAGAGGCTTGACAACCATATGTCAGGAGTGCTCTGATGGTGTTTCCTGCTTGGCAGGGGGTTGGACTCGATGGCCCTTGTGGTCTCTTCCAAATCTATGATTCTATGATTCTATGATCTCCTCCTTTGCTATAGGCTGGCCACCTCCTTGACATGCTAGCAGGCAGTTTTTAAAACAGAGATACATCTGTTTCCTTTTCTCACCCCTTCCATACAAGGAGGGCCATACTGTGTACCGTATTTTTCGCTCTATAGGACACACTTTTTCCCTTCTAAAAAGCAAGGGAAAATGTGTGTGCGTCTTATGGAGCGAATGCAGGCTGCGCAGCTAACCCCAAGCTAGAACAGCAAGACGGAGCGCTGCGCAGCTTCAAAGGCTGTCCCTGAAGCCAGAACAGCGAGACAGAGTGCTGCGCAGTGCTCCGTTTCGCTGTTCTAGCTTGGAGATGGCTGCGCAAAGCCTCCGCTGCCCTGCGGAGGCTTCAAAGGCTGTCCCCGAAGCCAAAACAGCAAGAGGCTTTCCCAGAAGCCAGATCCCTCTTGCTGTTCTGGCTTCTGGGGTTCAGAATTTTTTTCCTTCTTGTTTCCTCCACCCCAAACTAGGTGCGTCTTATCGTTCGGTGCATCCTATAGAGCGAAAAATACAGTACTTTTTCTGAATATGTTTTTAGGTTCTATGCACATTTTCATTTTGGATACGACAAGCTCAGTGGAGCACACCATTTTGCAATGGAAACATTTCCATAGGATGCACGCCCAGGTGGTGAGCTTTGCCATGCATTCCGCTTTGCAGATCTTTGGAATTTCTTGGCTCTCCAGGTTGCAGCATGCCTGAGCGTTTGCCACATGGGGGCGCAATCAGAAGGAAAAGATCCCAAGGCGAAAGTGAGAGTAAAAAGCCATGCTGTGCACTTACTGTCATTTCCCCACAAAAATTGTACTAGTCTTTACGATGTTTTGAATTTTAACCACTATTCTGAATAGCAAACATTTAAGATCACAGCTAGTGGAGTGTGTATTTTGCATAGGGAGAATTCCATGATAAATTGAAATGGGAGCATAAATTGGCTACGATTTGCATATTCAGGAATGGAAATCGCACAGTCAAATATGAGCAGTGTTCACTATTGTTTTTTTTCTTTTAGTCCATAGGCTTTATGTTAAATAATATATTATTTCTTTATGTTGCATCTGATGTTTCCCTTCTACTGAAATTGAAATCGTTTCGGCCACAGAGAATAGTGGGATGTAGGTTTTAGTGGAAGCCGAAGTGCAGCAGAAGGTTAACAGTGTTGAGTGCAATGAACACAAGACGGGATGGAAATCTCTGCCTCCTGACATGTCTAATAGTGAACCTCAACATTTAAAGCTTCTATCCAGCATTACTTTGGGCTGCCTGCATGGGCCAGGTATGGTGGGTGCTGCCGTTTATTTCCTTATTCCCTTCCATTTATGAATCATTTCCTATGAAACATCTTAGAGGGATAGAACAATAAAACATCAGGAACAAAAACATACAACAAACCAAGTTCATATATAAAAACAATTAGTTCCACAACACTTGGAGGACCACAGGTTCCCTTCCCCTGAATTATGGCGGTTGGAGGATGGATGGCGGCTAACAGATTGAGGCTGAATCCTGACAAGGCAGAAGTACTCTTTTTGGGGGACACGGTGGGCAGGTGTGAGGGACTCCCTGGTCCTGAATGGGTGAGGAACTGTGGCAGCCTGGGAGTGAATGGCATGAAGGAACAGGTGCGCAGCCTGGGAGTCATTTTGGACTCACAGCTGTCCATGGAGGCACAGGCCAATTCTGTGTCCAGGGCAGCTGTTTACCAGCTCCATCTGGTACGCAGGCTGACACCCTATCTGCCTGTGGACTGTCTCGCCAGAGTGGTGCATGCTTTAGTTATCTCTCACTTGGACTACTGCAATGCGCTCTATGTGGGGCTACCTTTGAAGGTGACCTGGAAATGACAACTAATCCAGAACGTGGCAGTGAGACTGGTGATTGGGAGTGGCCACCAAAACCATATAACACCAGTCCTTAAAGACTTACACTGGCTCCCAGTACGTTTCCAAGCACAATTCAAATTGTTGGTGCTGACCTTTAAAGCCCTAAATGGCCTCAGCCTAGTATACCTGAAGGAGCGTCTCCACACCCATCATTCAGCCTGCACACTGAGGTCCAGCGCTGAGAGCCTTCTGGTGGTTCCCTCACTGTGAGATGTAAGGTTACAGGGAACCAGGCAGAGGGCCTTCTTGGTAGTGGCGCCTGCCCTGTGGAATGCCCTGTCATCAGATGCCAAGGAAATAAACAACTATCTGACTTTTAGAAGACATCTGAAGGCAGCCCTGTTTAGAGGAGTTTTTAATGTTTGATGTTTTATCGTATTTTTAATATTCTGTTGTGAGCCGCCCAGTGTGGCTGGGCAAACTCAGCCAGATGGGCGGGGTAGTAGTAGTAATATTATTATTATTATTATTATTATTATTATTATTATTATTATTAGCATGTGTTAATATGGCATTTTGGGACGCAGGTGGCGCTATGGGTAAAACCTCAGCGCCTAGGACTTGCCGATCGCATGGTCGGCGGTTCGAATCCCCGCGGCGGGGTGCGCTCCCGTCATTCGGTCCCAGCGCCTGCCAACCTAGCAGTTCGAAAGCACCCCCGGGTGCAAGTAGATAAATAGGGACCGCTTACCAGCGGGAAGGTAAACGGCGTTCCGTGTGCTGCGCTGGCTTGCCAGATGCAGCTTGTCACGCTGGCCATGTGACCCGGAAGTGTCTGCGGACAGCGCTGGCCCCCGGCCTATAGAGTGAGATGAGCGCACAACCCTAGAGTCTGGCAAGACTGGCCCGTACGGGCAGGGGTACCTTTACCTTTACCTTTTAATATGGCATTTTACTTTGAAAAGATCCAAGTGTTATTGCATGGAGTGGAAACCACATAAGGAGACCCCTGTTGGATCAGACCCATCTAGTTCAGCATCCTGTTCTCAGAGTGGACATCTGGATGCCCCAGTGGGAAGCCCATAGCCAGGACCTGAGTGGAATAGCACATCTCCTCTCTTAGGATCCCCAGCAGAAGTATGGTAGGCAGAAGCCATGATTTCATAATGAACTTACCCCATTGACACTGTAACCCGAATCTCCATAAACCAGGATTGGCAAAACCCGTTCATGTTGAGCGTAATGGAAATGCTCAGGAAACTCTCCTTTTTTATACACTTTGAGATGAGGGTGGGCATTTTTCAATGCCTGATAGATTTCCTCTTCTTTACCCGGTTTGGGGAGGATCATGCCAAAGCCACCATAGTCTACGATGTCAAATTTCACCAGGTCGCTGAATTTAATGTAGTTGCTCAGCATGATCTCAGTAACTTCCGGTTTCTTTTTGACCGTGGTCATTCCGTGATCGGACGTGATGATGACATTGAGGGTCTCCTTCAAGCTGTGTTTTTCAATCGCTTCAAGGAGGTAACCGATGGTCCGGTCAATCTGTCGGATGATCGTTTTCCTGTCTTCAGTCTCTGGGCCAACCATGTGCCCCACCTTGTCAGGTTCCCCATAATAAAGTGTGACAAAATCAAAATCTTCCTCGGTGAACCATTTCATGACGATATCAATGTTTTCCCTCCACTCTGTCTCGTTGCTGTCGGGGTGAGTAAAGGACTCAACCAAACTCCTTTGGACTCTCTGGCCACTGTAATTGGCACCTCCACCGGGATAGTGAAATGAAGCTGTTTTCTTCCCCTAGTGGAGGAAAAATGAGGGTTTTTTTTTAAATTAAAAAACTGGGAGTTCAGGGAATATTCTTAACTGTGTGAAGGACAAGAAAAATCAAGCCAAAGGGTCAGTTACACCTAGCATCTCTCTTCGTTGTTGCAACCCAAATGCAAACATACTTCCAACACACTCTGAAGCTGCTTCCAGACACTCTGTTTATTGAACATTTTCCCCGGTTGGTTAGTGCAAATGCCACCTCCAGACTATCAGTGTTTTGTGGAAGGGATTCAGCTGTAATACTGTAAATTTAGATCCACACAATTATAGTGAACTAAAGTGCACTAGTGTAACAATTCCACTTTTTGTTTTTTTAAATTGGACTCTTGTGGTTAGGACAGTGATGGACATTCGCATAGGCCTCATTGAGCTCAATGGGACTTCTGCTTAAACACATATAGGATTTAAAGGAACAAGACAGGGATGTCTGTTGTCACCACTATTATTCATTACTGTCCTGAAGGTCCTGACAAAAAACCTGCGGGAATCTACAACCGTGAAAGGTATAAGAATCGGTGTAAAAAAGTATAACCTAAAAGCTTATAGTAAAGGTAAAGGTACCCCTGCCCGTACGGGCCAGTCTTGACAGACTCTGGGGTTGTGCGCCCATCTCACTCAAGAGGCCGGGGGCCAGCGCTGTCCGGAGACACTTCCGGGTCACGTGGCCAGCGTGACAAAGCTGCATCTGGCGAGCCAACGCAGCACACAGAAACGCCGTTTACCTTCCCACCAGTAAGCGGTCCCTATTTATCTACTTGCACCTGGGGGTGCTTTCGAACTGCTAGGTTGGCAGGCGCTGGGACCGAGCAACGGGAGCGCACCCCGCCGCGGGGATTCGAACCGCCGACCTTTCGATCGGCAAGCCCTAGGCGCTGAGGCTTTTACCCACAGCGCCACCCGCGTCCCAAAAGCTTATAGAAATGGTCTATAATGAACTAAAAAAGATGTTAAAATATACCTTCCCCCAAAAATCGGAAGTGTTTTTGCTTGGGTTGATGGGAGAAGAGATTGCAAAAGTAGACCAAAGACTATTTATGTATGCCACCACTGCAGCAAGAATTTTGTTAGCCCAAAGGTGGAAATCACAAGAATTACCAATGATTGAGAAGTGGCAGATGAAGATGATGGACTATGCGGAGCTAGCCAAACTGACTGTGAGGATCCGGAACCAAGGTGACGAAAAATTCCAGAGAGATTGGACTAAATTTATTGAGTACTTGAGAGACCATTGCAAAAATGTGAAGACACTAGCAGGATTGACATAAATCCTTCAACACAATATAAAAATAGTATCTGAACATGGATAATAGAAGGATTTGATATGTATTGAAGGACAGAAACTGCTAGCAGAAATGTGTATACAATTTTTTAGGAAATTAGAAACCAGTTGAAGGGAGGGAGGGAAGTCACGAGTTTGGCGGAGTAAATGCTTTTGAATAGCTATAATGTTATATTTTATGTTTCTGTTTTATTACTGAAAATAATAAAAATTATATATAAAAAAATAAACACGTATAGCATTACGCCATAAGGTAGAAATTTCCTCCACATATGAAATGCCTGTAAAATCAGAGGTAACCTCTGCCATAAATTTTACAGAGTAATTTTATTAATTCAATTAATTTCAGAGTAGCACCAGCCAGATTATTATTATTATCATTATCATTATTATGCTTATCATAATGTTCTTACTGACATTTAATATGCCATTTTGGGGCTGAGTAAAGGTCAAAGCTGATTTAAAACCCAACTTCACAAAAACAGGCAAATCCTGCCAAGGAATGGAAAGATCAATCTGAGTTCATAATACTGTCCAGGTACAGTGGACACTTGGGTCGCGAACGTGATCCGTGTGGGAGGCACGCTCGCAACCCACAGTGTTCGCAACCTGCAGCGCCGCACCTGCGTGTGTGTGGGTCACGATTCGGCGCTTCTGCGCATGACGTGATTTTGCATGTCTGCGCATGCAGTACTTCCGGGTTCAGTGTGGTGCACAACCTAAAAACGCGCAACCTGAAGCGTCTGTAACCTGAGGTATGATTGTACTAAGGACAGAGTCCAGCTTGTAACATCAGAATCTCCATTGTGATATTTGGCACACTTTGGGATACCAGTTCCATATTTTTGTAGTTTCACAGTGCAATCCTGAGTATGTTTACTCAGAAGTACAGTGCTACCTTGGGTTACATATGCTTCAGGTTACATACGCTTCAGGTTACAGACTCTGCTAACCCAGAAATAGTGCTTCAGGTTAAGAACTTTGCTTCAGGATGAGAACAGAAATTGTGCTCCGGCGGCGCGGCAGCAGGCCTCATTAGCTAAAGTGGTGCTTCAGGTTAAGAACAGTTTCAGGTTAAGTACGGACCTCTTGAACGAATTAAGTACTTAACCCGAGGTACCACTGTAAGTCCCACTGTTCCAATGAAGGCTAATTCCAGCTGAATGCGAACAGGATTGTCATCTCAAAATGGAACCCTATACATTTCTACTCAGAAGTAAGTGCCATAGCATTCAAGGTTGTCCCTCTGGGTGTTGTGGGATTACATTGAACATTACAGAGTTACAGGACCGGGGTGGGGGTGGGGTGGGAATAGACAGATCCCCATCCCCAAAGAGCTTACAATCTATACTTTCCCTGTATAAATTAAAACATGGCAAAGTGAAGGCTAGGCTGATGTGCTAAATTTCCATGCACAAGGAGCTTTATCTGCAAACTTGCTACCCATGCACTACCAGAACTGGCGGAGTCCTGAGAAAAGTTTACCCCTTGATCCCAACTATCACTGCATAAAATGGCTTATGGGTTTCAGGCACTGGGGTGTACATACATTTATATTAGCACGGGGCACCCTTTTCTGCTAGAGGGCCACATTCCCATCTAGGGAAGCTTCTGGGGGCCACATGCAAAAGTGGGTGGAGCAACAAATGTTAATTTACTCATATATCTCTGTCCTTCATGCAGACAAGCCAGAAGCATCACCAGAGTTCAATGATGTTTTCCAGCCTGCCAAAAACTATCAAGAGGGTGCGAACCAGGGTTGGTGGGGGGTTTGACATGGGGGAAATGGGTGTGGCTGGTGAGGGACCATCTCCGAGGGAGAGTTCTGTGTGTGAACTAGAGAAACCTGGAGTCTGAGGCTCATCTCCCTCCAACCTATATGCATAAACAGGCCCGATGGAGGGCAGTGACTATTCTGTCTTCCTCCCCCTCTTTATCCCCAGAATTGTACCTTGGAGAGCTTTGACGTCTGGCTCCAGATCTTTTTAACCCAAGTAGCTGAATTCACATTGAGTCAAAACCTGGCAGGGGAATTCCTCCTGTTCTTATTTCCAACAAAACAATTTAATAAAGCTCAATAAAAATATAATTATGTAGAAACAAGAGGGTATTTACTGTTCTTGCCTCCCCATTTTATTAACATAATCAACTTTACTAGCAGCTATAAAATTTGCGATTATTACCAGTTTTAGTGGGAATGTTATTTTCTGTTAATATTGCTGCTTTCTTTTATTGCAGAGCGTCACAGACATTCTTATTGTTCCTCAAAGTTGTGAATTGAGGCAGCTGGCAGGTTTGCGGGGCTGTTTCCACCCACCCCCTTTCCTGATCGTACCCTTTGCTTAAACTAAAGTGCTTTGTAATTTTGGTTTCTCCTGCTTTTCACTTTGAAGGCTGCTTTCAATTTGACATAAGCTAGATTTAACCTTTAGCTGCACAAGCTCTTTAAAATTCCTGTTCCATGTGTCATTCGAATTAGCATCACTCTTCCCCGCACACCACACCCCCATGCGAGGGCAAAGAAACTGTAGCTACATTTTCCTTCACTAAGAGAAAGAGTGGAAGTAGTGGAAATACAGAAAAAGAAAAGAAAGGGAGTTATATTGTTTGGCTGGAGATTTACAAGGTCACTGTTTCTCTTGACATTCTATTTAGTCTTCTGCTAAACAGCGTAACATATCTTTAGAGAAATACTTCAAGGCTCTCATATATCAATGCATTTTCAAAAAAGAAGAAGAAAGAAATTAGATGTATTATGTTTAATCTCTGAGTTGCTAGAGTGACGTTTGCTGAGACCAAATTCCTTTGCCTTGAATTCAAGACACATTTTGTCTTTTCCAAAGCAATCAGTACATGGGCTTTCAACGGACTAAGGGATGTTCAGCCATTTCATTGTCTCCCTCTGAACTTATCAACCAACCAACCAGTCGATCAAGAGGTGAATAATATGTGGTCAGGAAATTCTGGCAACCAAACCTGGGCTCTTGACTCTCTGTGTAGGTTTAGCAACAAAAGAACTACCTGCCTGGATCAGGCCAGTAACCCATCTAGTTCTGCATTTTGTTCTCAGAGTGATGAATCAGATCTCCACAGCGATCAGGGCCCAGTACATTTTGGCACCTGAGGCAAACCGCAAAATAGCATCCTAATGCCAAGTGCTATTTGACAGTGGAAGAGGCTGCCTCTGGTGTGGCTGTGAAGATCATGAAGGAACCCTGCACTTCTGATTTGGCCACAACATGACTAGTTGTCAGTTAAGGAAGAAGGTAGGAAGGTGGGGACTGGCTGAGGGCACATTTAGCCTAACGGACCACCCTCTTTGGGTTAACTTAGCCCTTCATTACATGAGTCTACACCAGCCTATTTCTTTTCCCATGGAATCCTGGCAACATGGATTCTGTCAAAGAAAAACCGTTAGACTTGGCTAGAGGTTAACACATTTATCTCCACAGAAACACGCCCAAATTGGAGCAGAGTGGGAGGGACTGGTATCTTGATGATTAATAAACCCAGTTTTGTCCAAATCACATGCGGAGTCAACATTTCTCTGAAAATGATGTAGGTGATGCCACATAAGGTGAATCGCTTTGCTGATCTTCAGCTATCAGCAGGCTGTAACCGCTTGGGATTCCTAAAATGGGCATTGCCTAGTCATTGTTAATGTGATTAAGAAGTACAGTGGTACCTCGGGTTACATATGCTTCAGGTTACATACGCTTCAGGTTACAGACTCCGCTAACCCAGAAATAGTGCTACAGGTTAAGAACTTCGCTTCAGGATGAGAACAGAAATCGGGCTCCGGCGGCACGGCAGCAGCAGGAGGCCCCATTAGCTAAAGTGGTGCTTCAGGTTAAGAACAGTTTCAGGTTAAGAACGGACCTCTGGAACGAATTAAGTACTTAACCTGAGGTACCACTGTAATGACAATCTTTTGGACTACTGAATGATGAGAGATGGTTCCGGAAACCTGGATTTGCCCAGAATTAAGTGTGCTTTCTGTACAAGTGTTGACAAGCTCAGCAGCGAAGAAGAGGAGGGATTCAGGAGGTAAGCAATAAAGGAAATATGAAGCACATCTGTGTCAGAGGCAAGGAATTGGCCAAAAACCTGAGAGTAGAGATGGGAGAGAAATTCAGTTCACAAGAACATAACATGCTGGATCTGGCCAGTGGCCTGCCTAGCCCAGGATCCTGTTCTCACACTTGCCACCCTAATGCCTGAGCACACGATCACTCTCCCCTCCTGTGATTTCCAGCAACTGGTATTCAGAAGTGTTACTGCCTCTGACCATACATCCACATAAAGATTCTTTCAGGCCATCTGTATGTACAGGTTCTTCTTATAGGATAAGGAACACAAGAGTTTTTCATTAAGAAACAAAGACACGCCACAATGATGCTGATTCAGTCGTGCTGTTTGCAGATCCCTGGGTTTCCCTGTATAGAAAGGTGTGAACACCACCCACAGTAGTGGAGGAAAGGGGGCAGTCCGCCCCGTGTGCCATCTCTGAGGGGGTGACAAGAAGGCACCCTGTGGGAGACTTGCCCCGCTGTCCTGGGAGTGGCGGTGCGAGCCGCCACCATCGCGCCACCGCAGTCATGTGTGGAGGATCCCTTCGCCACTGCTGCAGCCACAAGCGGAGAACCCCTCCACCACCACCGCAAGCAGAGGATCCCACTGCAGCACTGTCGGCAAACCGCCTGGCGGCGCATGCACAGTGCTGCTATGTACGGCACATGCGCATGCACTGTATGTAGTGTACCACACATGCGCTGTATGTACTGCGCATGCGCACGAGCTGCTGGGCGGTTTGCCCCGCCCCCAACACCCTGCACTGGGTGCCGGTTACCCTTTGATCGCCCCTGACCATCCATCAGAGTAAACGGCTTTGTTGATTTAACTTTGATCATCCTTCAGTCTGCATCCACTTGTTCATCACGTGAACTTATGGCGAGCCTGCTGGATCAGGTCAAAAGCCTATCTGGTCCAAATTCTTTTTCAAATAGTCAGATGCCTGTGAGATACCCTCAAGCAGGACCTGAGCACAAGAGCCTCTCCCCTCCAGCAGCTCATATTGAGAAGCATTAATGCCTTTGATGGTGGAGGCAGAGCATAGCTAGTTGCTACTAATAGCCTTCCCCATGAAAATGCAACCCTTGATCCAGAGAAACTCGAGGATGCCCTCGGACAATTCATTATAGCATTATAATCCTTGCTCTGGATCCAGTACCTGGTTTTGAGCTGTGATCCACAGTGGCAGAACTCCATTGTCCCACCATTCGGTCTTGTTCTGTGTTTCTTTGTGGCCATACTTTCTCAGAGTCTCCGTGTTGAACATCATATTATGGATGACACCATGGTCTTCGATCCAGCGGCCTAGGTTTGGAAAAGAAAAAGGATGAAAGGTGGGTGTCCTGTTGTGACTGTGGACTCACTGCCCCATAGGTGACTTGGGCTCCTGATAGTATCTTGCCCGCTTCTGCAGTAGTATGATACTTGACTCACTTACTTGAGTGTTCTAGACCTATCTGTTCTGCTGCCATCTTGAATACAGAAGAATTTTTGATACTGAGCCAGTGAGAGAGACTTCAGGCTCTGAACATTTCACCACTTCTGCACTTTATTAGTGCACACTATATAGCATCCTAGAATGAATTTCTGGCAAAAATAATCTTTTTTAACCAATCACATCCAGATACTAATTAAATCATTATCTGAGTAATGTATTTACTTTACGGGAAGTTCTTTTTAATGAGGAATATTAATTAAAACCTGTTGGATGGCTGGTAAGCATATAAGCATATCTGCCTGTCTGTTTTAATTAATTCCCAGTAAATAATGAGACCATATAAACATGTAATTGCATTACAGATTTTTAGAGCTGTGTTGAACATAGCAATATATATATATATATGAGAAACCTTTCTGTTTCTGAGTTTTAAACCTCAAGGGTGGAACATCTGCCTTGCAGGCAGAAAGTCTCAGGTTCAGTTTCCAGCATCTCCAAATATGACAAGGGAAGACTCCTGCCTGAAACCCTGGAGAGCTGCTGCCAGTCAGTGTAGACAATACTGAGCCAGAGGGACCAATGACCTGACTTGGTATAAGGCAGCTTCCTGTGTTCTTCTGTTATCCCTGTGTAATCACTCTTCCATATCATAATCCTGGATGTTTCCTGGAAATATCAACATACATGTATAAGGCAGGATGGCCATCACTTGGTCACACCGGACTTCTTTTATGACCATAGGATGGGTGCTTTCAGCCATGACTTCCTGGGCTCTCCTCTTCATGGAGAGAGGCAACTTCCAAAGATACTCTCCCTGGAACCACAGCTGCCTGCCTTGAGTTCAGACCTGGGGGTGGTCATGAGATCTACTTTATAGACGGTAGTCCTCTATTGGAAGGTACCTCAGAGGACAGTCCCCCTGCTGGTAGGACTTTCAGGACCATGCCTTGTTTAATAATAAAGAACTATAAGAATAGAGACCAGGTGTGTGTGTGTGTGTGTGTTTGTGTATGTGCATAATTTCTGTGTCATGGTGGCCACCAATCTGGATGGCTTTAAAAGAGAATCAGACAAATTCATGGAGGAGAAGCTCTCAATGGCTACCAGCCACTAAGGCTATGTTCTGCTTCCATGGTTGGAAGCAGCAATGCTTCTGAAGACCAGTTGCTGGAAGCCACAGGAAGGGAGAGTTGCTCTTGTGCTTGGGTCCTGCTTCTGGGTTTCTCAAGGAGACATCTGGGTGGCCACTGTGAGAACAGGATGGTGGCCTTGATGGGCCATTGGCCAGATCTAGGAGGACTCTTATTGTGTTCTTAAAAGTAGCAGCAAGGGGAGGGCTATTGCCTGTGTGCTTCCTGGAGGAATCTGATTGGCCACTGTGAGAAGAGGATGCTGGACTAGGTGGGCCTTTGGTCTGATCCAGCGGGGCTCCTCTTCTCTCACAGATTAGCACACCCAACTCTATACACCACTCTCTATCCCTAGCGATGCACTCTATTTTGGGAGATGAGTAAGTGGGCACCCTCGACTTGGGCTTTGAACAGGGTGAGAGAGGCTCTGTCTGAAATAACAGAAAAGGCTAAAAACTGAGAGAGAGGAGCATGAAGAAGGTGGTGGTGGTGGGGAGAGAAGCCTGGGACCAGCCTTGGCAGAAATCAGCAGAGGGAAGTGAGAGTTCAGATTCATTGTGGGCACAGGGCACTGCCTCTGCTAAATTAACTGCTGAGCGATAGACTTCTTAGCAAAAGGCCAAAGCTTATAGTATTCAGCTGCACTATAAATAATGATCTACCCAGAGAATGAGTCACAGGATCTGGAAGGGAAGAGAGAAAACAACAGCTTTGGTCTTGGAGAATAAAGTTCTAAGCAACAAATATTGAAGCTGGAAATAGACATCCCATGATATTGGGCCGTTGGCCAGCCAAACGGCACAGGCAATAGAGGCGAATGTTTGCCAGGTTTGAATCGAGAGCCAGAACAGTGGCAGTGTGGTGTAGTGGTTAGGGTGCTGTACAAGGTCCCAGGAGACCAGGGTTAAAATCCACACACAGCCATGCGTCTGGGCAGGGTTCTGAGCTTTGTAGGCACAGAGGAAATGCCTCATGGGCTCCACTGACTGCTCCCCACCCCACACATAAAGTTTTTAGCCTTGAATGCTTTCATTTAATTAGGATTGACTTCCAGCATATCTGTTTGCAATAAAAATTATCAATTTTCCTCAGCTTTCAAAGCTATTTGTTGGCAATGATTGATTAATTAATTAATCAAAGCACCCACCTTCCCGTCCTGGAAATGGACCTTATAAGGTGGCTGACTACTGTGATGGAACATCTAACAATAACGTAATATAAACACTAATTAAACAAGGTGACAACTTAAACTTCTTTCCCAAAGGATTTTTCAGAAAGACTATACAATTTCCCCATTGATAATTCTGTAAGATGTTCGACTGCAGCAAGGTCAGTCAAAGCTGATGCCAAAACAAAGTTGAATTGGGGGCCTTTGCAACGACTGCACCATCCCCCTTTGTAAGAGATGCCCCTTTTCTTAACATTTTTTTTCCTTTTTGCAAAGAGCAGAAGGATCATTACAAGGTAGTTGCTTAATTGGTCCCTGAACTTGAAGATAAGATTTTATCTTGAGTTATGTAAGGTTTATCTCTTGGTATCTGATAAGGCCTTTGATTAACATGCACACATACACACACCCTTTACAGATTATTCTTTCCTGGGAGGCAGTCACAGGAGTCATATACCAGAAACCCCCCCACTCTTGTTTTATTGGTGAAATCAGTTCATTATTGGTTCATTGGAATGGTGAAGCTATGTGAACAGATCTACTAGTAAATAAAAAATTGTCCAGTAGCACCTTAGAGACCAACTAAGTTTGTTCTGGGTACAGTGGTACCTCGCAAGACGAATGCCTCGCAAGACAAAAAACTCGCTAGACGAAAGGGTTTTTTGTTTTTTGAGCTGCTTCGCAAGACGATTTTCCCTATGGGCTTGCTTCGCAAGACGGATACGTCTTGCAAGTTTGTTTCCTTTTTCTTAACACCGTTAATACAGTTGCGACTTGACTTTGAGGAGCAACTCATAGAACGCGGTGTGGTAGCCTTTTTTGAGGTTTTTAAAGCTTTTTGAGGTTTTTGAAGCTTTTCCAAAACTTTCCCGACACCGTGCTTCGCAAGACGACAAAACTCGCAGAACGAATTAATTTCATCTTGCGAGGCGCCACTGTATAAGCTTTTGTGTGCATGCACACTTCTTCAGAAAGCACGCAAGCTTTTGTGCACTCGAAAGCTTATACCCAGAACAAACTTAGTTGGTCTCTAAGGTGCTACTGGACAATTTTTTATTTATTTCGACTGCGTCAGACCAACACGGCTACCTTCCTGAATCTAGATCTCCTAGTAGAAGAAGCAGTGTTTTGTCTCCCTGCACCAAACCCCTGCTTCTATTACCTGTTCTGTTCACATAGCTTCACTGTAACAATGATTTCTCCCTGTTAGATGAGTTATGCTGGAGAACGGACAGCAGGATTGTGATCCTGTTAGTTCTTCTAGACCCCTTGGTTGTTTTTGATGCCGTGCCATTGATTCTGTTATCCTTTTGGACCACTTGTCTAGCATTGATTATATGATGGTTTCAGTTCTTCCTGGACGAGCATTTCCAGAAGGTGGAGCTCTTCCTGAACCCCATAGCGACTGCCTATGTGGCACCACAGCAGTTGATATAAATCTCTGATACCAGTATGCTGTAGTGTCTAGGGTGTCAGACTAGGACCTGGGAGACCAGGGTTCAAATCCCCAGTCAGCCATGAGCTCACTGAATGACCTTGAGCCAGTCACTGCCTCTCAGCCTAGCCTACCTCACAGGGTTGTTGTGAGGATGAAATGAATGTAGGAGGGAACAATTTACACCACCTTGAGCTCCTTTGAGGAAAGGTGAACTATAAATGCAAGAACAATGCTATTTTAGTATCTATGTCAGGGTTGGGGAACTCAAGCTGTTTTTGCCTGGCTGGAATGTGCCCTTGAACTCTGATAATGTCTCTCGCTTGCCTGGTTCCAGCAAATGGAATTCCTCAACTTGCAATTCCCAGCAATTGGCATTCAGAGGCATACTGCCAGGCGGCGGAGGAAACAACCCCCGCAGCAGGTTGCCAGGAACGGACGAGACAAGGAAAAGTCTGCTTTTATTCAGTATTCACAGAGAGAGGCTTGGGAATGCAGCCTCTCAGAATAATGGCATTGTCCTGAGTGACTCTCCACCCCCCTTTCCTCCCAATTCCTCATTCATCATCTCTTCTAGGGGTGGCGTTAAGGACTGTTTGCTTCTGAGCCCTTTGCTCTACTACTTTCAAGGCTTGCCAGTTTCTAGGAGGGGTGTGTGTGTCTGGAATGCTTTCTGAGGACACTGTGTCTGTCAGCTGTTGCCCTCCTGGTGGTTCCTTTTCCTCTCCCATTATTTCCCAGCTTTCCCCCTCATCTGCCTCTGAGCTGTGACCTCTCTCAAACCCCTGTTGTAATTCTGAACTGTCTTCTTCTTCTCTGGAAGGGTCAGGCTGGGGAGGCAGTCTCCACCATTTCTCCTCTGCCCAGTCTCTGACACATACTCAGTTAAAAACACATGAAGAGCCTAATGGCTCTTCTATTCCAGCATCCTGTTCTCATAGTGGTCACCCAGATGTGAAGCACCCAGACATGAAGCTATGGGAAGCAGACAAGCAAGATATGAGTGCAACAGCTTTCGACAGCCGAGAAAGAACATAGCCATTGTGGTTAGTAGCAACTGATAGCCTTTTGTCAGACCCTCTATGAAAGCCACCCAAGTTGGTTGCCATCACTACATAAATAAAACAATACATAAATGGAATAGACCTTTTACCAAGGATGAACGCCAGATAGCTGGGGAATATGGGATGGGCTTACCTGAGATGGTCGTGAAATGGGATGGTGAAGTCATGGTCACAAAGGGAGGAGTTACATATTCTGCTTTCACCCCTTCTTTGACCAAGTGGTCCATGTTTGGAGTGTCGACATCCTGGTCATAATTCCACCGGAATCCATCGAAGGAGATCAAGAGGAGTTTATGGGTATTTGCTTTCACCTTGCTCTGTGTAACAGGGTAACAAGCAGTGGCTGTCAAGAGGGCAAACACCAGAGCAAGGAAATTTGTGATCTTCATCCTGAGATGTCCAGCAGTCAAAAGAAAGCCCTCTATCTTACTGTCTGCTTTTCTAGCATGGTTGAAAAACACATACCTATTTACATATATCTAGAGCTGATCAGAGTAAAGTTCAGCACAGATAAGACTATTCATAGCTGCATGCTCATCTTCTTACTATCACCAGTTTTTATGAAATGAAAACCACGCCAAATGCAAATGAGATAAAAAAGTATCTTTTGAAATCTGAAAAGATACCAGCAAGCTGCTAGTAAGGATGGATTCTTGACCATTGGCCATGCAGGGTGTGGCTGATAGTGAGGGCCACCAGCTTGGATGGCTTTAGAAGAGGATTGGGCAAATTAATGGAGGAGAAGGCTATATTGATACCTGCCATGATTTGCCTGCATAGTCAGAGGCAGTAATCCTTCTGAATACCAGTTGCTAGAAATCACAGTGGGGGAGAGTACTCTTGTACCCGGGTCCTGCTTGCCAGTGTCCCACAGGCATCTGGGGGTGGAGCATTGTTGTACAAGATGGGTCACTGGTCTGATCCAGCAGGCTCTTCTGATGTTCTTAAGTGTTGCCCAACAGCTTCTGGAGGCCACCATGTTGGTGAAGGCTGGGTGACCTGATTAATTGGGCAGCATTTTTAAAAAGCTTTATTTCGTGCAATGCTCTCCCCAGGGAAGCTCGCCCTTCAGTGTATCTGAAGAAGTGTGCATGCACACGAAAGCTTATACCCAGAACAAACTTAGTTGGTCTCTAAGGTGCTACTGGACATTTTTTTTAATTTTTTAATTTATTTCGACTGCGTCAGACCAACACGGCTACCTACATGTATATTAAGTGCATTTAAAGCCCATGCCTTCCTCCAAAGAATCCGGGGGAGTATAGTTTAGTACCTTATACAGACTGAAGCTTCCAGGATTTTTAGGCGAACCCATTGGCTTCAAATGTATGGTGTGCACAGTATCTAGAAGGCAGCAGGTTATTGAAGATTGGCATAAACCATTTGGGAGAAATTAGATTTGCAGTTGATTTTCAGTTATCCAAAATTAAGCTTGGCCTTTTGAGAATGCACACTCTTTATTGCCATGACCTCTCTTAGCTCTCCAGATCTCTCTAGATTCTGGAACTCTGACCTTCCCAGGCTTTCATCTCTGATTCTTGATGCCTTAGCCAGCCACCACAGCCCATCATTGACTGGCTACACCAGTTGCATGCCAAATGGGCCTTCCAGGGGAGCAGGGGAGAGTCTCCCACGTTTGGAAGATGGGAAGGTCAGTAATTCAGGCAATCACTTGTTCTAGGGAAGGAGAGTGAAGAAAATTAAACTGCCAACAATGAATAATGAGAAATCTTTGATGGAATTAGTGATGCTGAACAGGGGCTTAATGCTTCCTTATTTCCTCTGAAGCCTAAAGTTTTAACAGAGAAAGAACAAGAGGAGAGAGAGAGAGAGAGAGAGAGAGAGAGAGAGAGAGAAGAACAAGTGTGCCAAGAATCCAGCTCTGAAGATGAAGAACCATGGGTTGGGCAGAGATACTTTTTGGGGAAGACAATATGGACAGTTGAATTGATAGGTTAGCCACTTTAGCATGGAAGAAAGAAGAAGAAGAAGAAGAAGAAGAAGAAGAAGAAGACCAACAACAACAGGCAAATGAAGTCTGCTGTGGTCCATCTTTCCCAGCATCCTGCTCTAATACTGGCCACCAAGATGCCTCTGGTAAACTGGCAAGCAGGACCCTAGCATAAGAGCCCTCTCCCCTTCTGGGGTTTCCAGCAACTGGTATTCAGAAGCATTACAGCTTCCAACCATGAAGACAGAGCATAGCCATCATCACTGGTAGCCATCGCTAGCCTTGAAATAGTGGACAAAAGAGGATATCGGATTTGCACAAATTTGCACATACTAATGGATTTATGGATGCACATTTAGAAAGAATTACTATGCTCAGCGGGCCCCCATCTGCCATCTTCCTTACTTCCAATGAGCCCTGGGGGCTGGTGGCAGTGCCTGTCAGAATCCTCCTCTTAAGTCTCAGTGTTGCCCTTGTAGAAGTCAGCAGCGAGGAGGAAGACAATATTAGAATTAGTTGGCCCTGCCTGTCATTGGCTCTGGCTCCACCTACTGTTTTGGCTCTCTGTCTTACACCCATCACTGACCATACTTTCAAAAAAAATAGACTCCATTTCACCCTAGTGAGGAAGACTGCAGCCAGGTGACCTGAGAGCTTCTTTGTTCTGCTGTCCAGCTGCTCACTGTTGATAGGCAACTTCAAAGCCCTCTTGGTTTTCCGTTCTTAGCTTTCTTTATTTTTAAACTGGGCTTATACTAGGCAGTCCTTGAAAGAGATTACTCCTTCAGATAGAGGATTGTCCTTTGGCAGCCCTTCAAATACATCAACCTTGAATTCCCCATATGTTGTTGGACTACTATTCCCATCATCCCCGGCCACCTTAGCCAGCAGAGTTGTGCTATGTATCCATCACTGTCAGACCAAACTGAAAACACACTATCGCTTTGCCAGTGGGAACAGGATGGAAGACCAAGATGAAGCATCCATGTAGATTATGGATTGCTTTTCCCAGATGCATTTGGTATGGGTTGCCAAAAGTGAATACGTACCATCCTTTGTAATCTGTGTAATGTTTTGCTTGGCTATATGTACCAAGAAGGCATGAGCGTTTTGCATTAGCTTGCCTTCTGCTGATCACAGTGAGAATATTAGGGGCTAATCAAATGACTTATCATATAGCATAACCCTGCCCTTCCAACCCATAAAGAAGGGTTGAGTAAATGCCCAATAAGATGTGATGTTCATTGCATGAATACAACTAACATTGTGCTATGTAAATATCAGCTGCTGAGAAGCCTACCCATCCAAACAGGAGAAGCAAATCCCAATGATGCATTGCTAAAACCTGCTCTCGCTGTGGAATTGAAGTCAGTCATCAAAGACAACATCTTACCGTAGTCTAGCTTTTAGCTAGCAAAAAGGTTCAGTTTGGGATTGTGGTTGGACTAGGACCAGGGAGACTAAGTTCTAACTTCCCACTGAGCCATGAAGGTCTAATCCAGAATGTGGCAGCTAGACTGGTGACCGGGAGCGGCCGTCGAGACCACATAACACCGGTCTAGAAAGACCTACATTGGCTCCCAGTACGTTTCCGAGCACAATTCAAAGTGTTGGTGCTGACCTTTAAATCCCTAAACGGCCTTGGTCCAGTATACCTGAAGGAACGTCTCCATCCCCATCATTCTGCCCAGACACTGAGATCTAGCGCCAAGGGCCTTCTGGCAGTTCCCTTGCTGCGAGAAGCCAAGTTGCAGGGAATCAGGCAGAGGGCCTTCTCGGTAGTGGCACCCGCCCTGTGGAACGCCCTCCCACCAGATGTCAAAGAGAAGAACAACTACCAGACTTTTAGAAGACATCTGAAGGCAGCCCTGTTTAGGGAAGCTTTTAATGTTTAACAGACTACTGTATTTTAATACTTTGTTGGTAGCCACCCAGAGTGGCTGGGGAAACCCAGCCAGATGGGTGGGGTATAAATTAAAAATTATTATTATTACTACTACTACTGGTCATGAAGACTATATATAAACTCCAAGATCAGAGGCGGAATGTCTTTGAATATCAGTTTCTGGGGTGCAAAAAGGGAGAGAGGGGTGTTGCACTCATGTCCTGCTTGTGAACTTCCCAGAGGCACCTCATGAGTGTTGAATTAGGGGTGTTGAATTAGGGCTCTGACCAGCAGGCTTCAAATCATCACACAGTCATTCATGAAGCTCTCTCAGTGACCAGCTACTGTCTCTCAGCCTAACCTACCTTCCTGGGTTGTTGTGAGAATAAAATGGAAGCAGGGTGAGAAAGAACCATGTGCACTGCCTTGAAGTATTTGGAGGAAAGCTGGTATATACATGTTACAAATAATAATTTTTTGTGGTCTTTATCAATTGATCACATCAATAAGTCAGCACAGTTATTGCGGCCCCCATAACACATGTATCTCTATGGAGAGGACTAATTAATTAGTGAACCTATTATGCATGTTCCTTACTGTTACGTTTTGTAACTGACAATCCAATAACATGTACTCCATGTGTCGTCTTTGTTTTTATGTTATGTTTATGGTGTTACTGTTGAAAACCAATAAAACACACACACAGATATGAAATAAAATATAAAATATTAGTTTAACAGAATGCTGGGTGAGACAGGCTCTTTCGATGGTCATATATTCATATGAAAGCAGCTTCTACAGTAAAGTGTTTTGCAAACTGTCCTAAGTGGTCCACCAAGGATTCCTCCTTTCCTCCTTAGGGGCTGAGATGTAACCAGCCCCTTCGAACCCAGGGCTGCACCAGCAATGCCCAAATGGTCATCACTGGGATGTTGAAACTGACCTTTATTAAACTTAAATTACAGCCTGTTCTCTCTCTCAAGGTTCTCTTCAAGGAGCCTGCTAATTTACTTAGCGAAGGGAAACAAATGCAGCTTTAACTTTACTTTGATGGTGCTTGGATTTTCCAGAGGCAAAAGTGTCACTTTTCAGAGATTATCGATCTGTTTCGAAATAGCCTTCCTCATGGTTAATCATTAATGAAAGGGTCACACTTTTGTCCCCTCCAGAAAGATATAGTAGGCAGACAGAGACTTCTCCCTGCCCCATCTCTATCCATGACAATAAGCCTGACATCGATAGAGATGGGCCTGTCCATCCCAATTGCATTTTGCATAGATCAAGGCATTTAACCTGTCACTCTTTGTTATGCCACCCCTGTTCCAGGGGAGGAGGAGAGCTACCTCTGTATTCAGTGCGTGCCCAGCTGAATTCAGAGGGAGTGGGGAGGTGAACGTGGGACAGAGAGAACTTCCAAGCTGGATTGGGGAGTCTGAGGCCAACTCAAAGTTTCGTTGTTGAATTTGCAGGTATGCCTCTGGGAAGGAATGCTCATTAGTGGAGCATCTGGGTGTCAGGTTCACTCTCTGGCATCTCCAGATAGGGCTGGAAAAGACTCTGAAATCC